ATAAATAAAATGTATTAAATACATATCTTTTATTAAAAATTAGATGGTAAGACTATTTAGAAATACACCACTATGAAGAGTACATATTTTGCGTGAATATATGTATGTATATGTATTGTCTATGCATAAAAGCTCGCATCTGTACTTTTCTTTCGCGGTATAATACTTCTTTTTTGATTCCAAAAATTGATACTGCGCTTTTTTCCAAAATACTGCATTTATACTTTTTTGCTGCCTAAATTGTTTAATACACAGTGTTCGCGGGAACAAGTTTTAAAAATGCACATATCGCATACCTAGATCTAAAATGCGATCAACTGAAAAAAAATTTAGCGATTTTTTTACAATTCAATTGAAGGAAATATTTTTTTCTTCATTATAATATACATTAACTAAAAAACTACTGTTATACCTGTTTTTGTATAAAATACGTTGAAACCGTACGATCCACAAGCAGTTAAAAAAGAAACTTTAATTTTTAAATTTTTTCGTTGTTAAAGTTTGCATTTTCTTCATGCACAATGCAAACTTAAAATGAAAATATCTTGCGAAAATGATCTGATTCAGAAAAACGTCACAGGGCCGTAATCAACGACCCAAAATTAAGTTTTCGTGTTGTGGCGTTTTTTGTATCATTTCGAATTTTAAAATTTTTCTTACAGTGCTATTGAACGTAACCGCATTTTTTTTTGCAATGAATTATCACAGTAAATTAATATTTGCAAAATTATACGAGTCAACGGAAACTTTGAGTGCGACAACGACGCATACGTTCCATACCGCTATATAAGATTTATTGACAGACGTTTATAAAAAAGATGCATATTAAATCGATTATAAATGTAGTTGCATTAGAAGATTAAATGTTATTAAGCAAACGCCAATAAATATGCAATACATTGTGAGGTAAACCACTACAATAATGTACGCATACAAACAAGCAAGAAAACTTGAAAGGTTGAAGATATGCAGAATTGCACCAGGGGTTGAATACATGAATAAAAGAACACACGCATTCATACTGAATACAAATTTATGCAATTCTGCGCCTAGTTTATGTGGGTATATCCGAAAGTTAAGTTGAATTAAGTACGAATCAAGGCACATTAAACAGGTAGTATCAGTAGAGCAAAAACAACATTTGCGTGTATTTTGTTGTTGCTTCTGGTATCGAAAGTGTCAACAACTGTTCTGAATTTTTTCTTCTAAATCAAAGCGTGCCATGTGAAATACAAAAAATTATAAAAAATAAAAAATTGAAATTGGAAAAAATAAAAATTGATGCAACTTCTTTCCTAGTAAATTTGTTTGCTTCTCGAAGCATTGATCCATCCTTTGCAAGGCCCAGTAATCAGCGGTCGTGCTGCCGAGTTGGGCGAACGTTCCAAAAGCTGCTATTCAATCGCTTGTTTTGTATGGAAAAAGGTTTCACAAGCAAATGGATTTTAACAACTTATAATATTCGTGAGAAAAAATTAAAAATATTTGACATTTTCGAGACCAAATAATTTGAAAATAAATCAAATCAGCTGCTCTACTGATACTACCTGTTCAATGTACCTTGAGTACGAATGGATGTACATACATATTTTGCAGTATAGTTTCATAAACGAAATTATTTACATACCCTAAGTACTTAGAAAAATTTTACGTACCGAGCGTTTTTATTACAAAGTATGTTCGAAAATTTCTTTATTTGGAAGAAAATGCCCGAGACTCTGACGGTGAAAGGTTATCAAAAATCAACGGAGTTTTGTAGTAACTTAAAACCTGCACATTAGATAATATACTAAAATCGAATGATCTATAAAACTGTATGCCAAAAAAGTTTGTGAAAATTCTGATTTTTCTAAATTATAGAGAAAGTTTGAAAGTTAAATATACTTAAATGGTTTATATTATAGAATTTACTATATTTTTATAAAAAATTAACGAAACAAAAAACTCTTCGTACACAAACATTTTCTAGTGGGGTTATTCATTTATTTGTGATATGTATTTAATGTTTATTTTTTATCTTGCCCTGATAACACACTTTTTCTACTGACTTGGACTAATTTGTGTTTTAACAGGACGGTGCCACCTTCCACGCAGCGCATGAAATAATGGCCCTATTGCGAACGAAGTTCCTAGGACGCATTATCTCACGTGTCAAATGGCCGCCGAGAGCTTGCGATTTGACACCATTGGACTACTTTCTCTTGGACTAAGTGCAAAATATCGTCTATGACAATAAAAAAAGCCCTAACTATGCCAAAAAGTCGTGGATAATGTTGATATGCGTATCCTGTGTTTCTAGAGGACTCCTGGTGGGCATTTTACTGATATTGAGTTTCATCCGCAAATGTCATAGCCTAAGAAACAAAGAAAATCTGCTGTTTACTTAATCAAATAGTGTCAGATCAAACTATGCGCATTTAGAAAAATAATTTTAGCTTTATTGGGAAACAGATTTTCAGTGCAATCCCAGCACAAAACTTATGTAAATCCACTAGCACAATATCTGTGCATACGTATGTGTGTATGTATGTACGTATACATACCCACTAGAACTTGAAGGGAGATCTCCCTATGTGAGGAATAAAAGAGTACTCCCCTTAACCTGATTTCTGAGCAATAAGGGCGATTTGTCGGTTTTGTACTCCTTTATTACTCGTTTAAGAATCAAATAGGAGATCTCCTAAGCGAGCGACGAAATAATACTCCCTGAGGCATGATTTGGGACCAATAAGCGAGATTTGTCGGTTTTGTACTCCGTTATTACTCGTTTAGGATTAAAAAGTGATGTCTCCTAAGCGAGAGGTCCAAGAGTATTCTTTTTGATTGATAGGAGAGCAATACGCACCTCG